GAATTGGCTACAAAAGACGATCAAGTATTGATGGCTATGGCTAGAACTTTTCCAAGTGAGCTTGGTTTTGGGGAAAGATTGATCTATCCATGTATATCTCCAATCTTTTTTCGAGAACTTCCATAGAATCAGAAGATACATCATGTATTCCTTTATTGATGTTGATACTACTCTTGCAGCTTTGAACAACGTCAGAAGAAAAATTGTCAAGAGATGTTCTTTGCTGTTTTATTCGTACGAATTTTTGTGTGCAAGCGCCAAAGATATCTTATGGGCGATGAGAAGATTTAAAAGCAACTATTACAGTGGGTTGTTCCCAGAAATGGTCCTAATATTACTTGGTGAGCTGCTGATAACAAAAAATGCAATATGGAGATCAGTTGAAATGCTTGAAACTCGTTCTAGTYGACTCTGATAAACTTTCTATTTCCTGTGCAGTTCCAGCAGCTATGTTTTATCCAATATATCAATTGATTYGTCTCTTCATCTTAGTGCTTCTTTACCCCTTCATTGTGCTGTATTTCCTYCTATGGAAGGTTTTAGCTACTGTAGGYAAGTGAASATARTGTMAATATGCTCRTGAACMGATCRGTTTTAAGATGGAAACTTGAGAKAATTTCCATTAACTTTAGAATGATCGTGTTTTAACTTAATTTATTACATTGCAGTGGCGCCAATTAAGCTTGTAGAAAAGAAGAAAAACGACTACAAAGAAGCTAAAGAGATTTTGAAGTTGGTATGTGATCATATTGATAGGTTGGGCTTCTCTGGTTCTCACCATCCCTGTTACAGCAGACCAATTCTTGAAGCTGCATGTCAAGGTGCTTATGAAGTTGTTGATGAGATTCTATCTCGATTCCCCAAAGCAATCGATTGTAAGAATCAAAACGGGCTTAACATCATTCAGTTAGCAGTGATAAACCGTTCAGAAAAAGTCTACAACCTTATCTATCACATAGTTGAGCGTAAAGACTTTTATAGAACGGTTATGGATTCCTCTAAGAACAATATTTTACACCTGGCCGGAAGATTGGCACCTTCACGTATACTAAGCCGTACTACAGGAGCTGCACTGCAACTACAACGGGAACTGCAATGGCGTGAGGTATGTTCCAAACAAGTTAAAAACTATCATGTTGTTTTGCTCTTCACACTGCTATAAAATCGGGTTTATATGATGCAAAAAATGTCAGGAAGTGTCAAAATAGACTTCTTTACAGGACCAAATTCATTTTCGGTCATTCTTTTTTTTACTATTTTAGCAACTTTTCTATATTTGTGTGTACTATATAAAAGTGTTACTATAAGTTTATTGGACTCTTTTGGCATCTTAACAAGCTTTTTTTAGGACAATTAGGGGCCGTTTACCAAACACTTACCCGGTAAGTGCTTACTGGTAAAATTTAACACTATTATTTACTTATTGGGTAAGATTTTAGTCCACCAAAATAACATCGTATGCAACAATTTATCCAGTAAGCGCTTACCATGGTAAGAGTCGTCGCCCTCATTTACCGGGTAAGACTCTTGGTCCTTGTCTCGCTCTTACCGGGTAAGATTCTTGATCCTTACCATATTCATCTAGTGAGGTAACGTGACTTGGTAAGCGCTTACCCGGATAAACGTTTGGTAAACGGCCCCTTAGATATAAAACGTCCAATTAATTTTTTATGACATTATTTGAAAAAGTAACAAGTGTCCTATAAAAAGACGTGTTCATAGCATCCAAAGTGTTCTACAAAAAAGCTAATATGATATTTTAATTTAGAAGTGCCATATTGAACATGTCGAGATGTCCAAAAACTGTCTTATAAACTTGTTACAACACTTGTACATAGGACGCATGTCTGTTCGGCCCTATAAACTGAAGTTTTATAATCTATTAGGATGCTTATATATTTTTGTCGTCCTATAAACCCAATAATATTGTAGTGTCGGTTTCACAAAGCTGAACTCGTTGAATCCTATAGGAATTGGAGAAATTTGTGTTTCCAGCATACATCACTGAAGAGAACATCTTTAAGGASACACCAGAAATGGTGTTTACAAGGGAACACGAGAASTTGGTGAAGGAAGGRGAAAAGTGGATGAAAWCCACAGCGGAATCATGCAGTATCACCGCAGCACTAATTACCACAATCGTATTTGCAGCAGCAATTACKGTACCAGGTGGAAGCAATCAAGAAACMGGTATTCCCRTGTTTAAGGGAACCRTTCCTTTCACYATCTTTGCGGTATCTGATGCAATCTCGTTATTTGCATCCRCTACTGCACTTTTAGTTTTCTTGTCAATCCTGACCGCACGTTTTTCAGAACAAGATTTTCTTGTTAGTTTACCAAGACGGCTGATYATTGGTCTTTGCACATTGTTCCTTTCTACAACTATGATGATGATAGCGTTTAGTGCGACGTTGTTCCTTGTGTTTGTTGATCAAAGGAACTGGATGTTGGSTCCAATAGGTGGACTAACTTGCCTRCCGATTGCAGTTTTCGTGACTCTACAATTCCCGCTTGTGGTAGACTTGTTCCGATCAACRTATTTYCCCATCTTYGGTAAGCAAAGTTACATAGAGCGTGGTAAATTTAATCCGAATAACATCCAATATTTTTTTGGTAATCGGGGCATCGAGTATGTATTGGAATGATTTGTTGTATATGCAATTTCGAGTTGAGTAATCAGAAGAGGGGAGAATAGTGAACAGTTTAAGAACCTGTTGTGTATGTTCATCAAATTTTGTAACCGATATGTATGTTTGATTGGCTTAATTAATCACCTACAAGTTCAGTTGTTGATTGCGGTCCTTATTCGACAGTCGATGGTTCACCATAGAATGGCCAAAAATGGGTCCTGAATCGGACCAGGCCTAAATCGGTCCCAGTCCCTAACACTAATCCCTTAACCAATTTTGACGTAACTGCTTCCAATCAAAAACTTAAGGCTCGTTTAACGTATTTTGTAATCGGTTATGAGGACTTGTCTTGGTCCTATGTATTTTTTTTTTGTAAATTCGAACTTTTACTTAATTTTTTTTTATTTTTTTCTAAAAAATTATTCTAATACACTTGAAAATATGTAATTGAGACATACACTTAAAAAACACGTTTTTGTGAGAAATACGAGCTGAAAAATTGAATTATAGCAAGAATTGTGAACGTATGTGAGTTGGTATTTTTTCTCATACACCATATGACTTGTATATAGTGAATAGAGGATAAATGGAAAAAAAATGTGAAAAACATCATATGATTGTTAGATATCGGTAATAAAACAATAATATTTTTGAAAAATCAGGTCGGTCCCTCGACGAGCCCATAATCAGTCCTTGACCGGCCAGGCCGGGCCTTCTTTTTGACGAAAAGTGTAACCGGTATCTGTAGGTCCCAATCTTTTCCGGGCCAAACCAGTCCTCCATCGGTCCTATGCCTGGCTGGACCCATTTGACCATCTCTGATTCACCACCATACAAGACATATGAGCTATTTGACCAGAGATAAAGTGTCAGGCTGTTAATATAAACTAAACAAGACTAGCCCGACACTTGCATTAAAGTTTATGAAATCAACAATTGTGCATGAAATTTAAAATCATAGAATCACAATTGTACTCGATGAGACTTCAATTTTGAAAGCACAACTAAGCATCAGTTCCTAAAATGTAGCATTTTGATACTTCAGATTATAATATTCGTATGACATCTCAATCGATCATAGTGTTTTTTCAACCTCGTGGTTGTATAAAGGTTGCATATTTATTTGAGTAAAAGATTGATTAACGACAATTCTGAATGGCGCCACACGGAACCCACCCTTAGGAACCACATGTGATGAGACATTTCAGAGCTGATTCAACGGTTGACGCTAACAAAAGGGTTCAAGCATGTCCCCCGCATGATTCAAACTTGAATTTGTTGTGTATCTAAGCAAAGTTGTGCCACCTCTATGCCAACTGAACTAAAATCCTTCAAAGAAGATGGAGATGAAGGAAATGCCTATTTGAGGTTTGATTTGAAATAAGCGAAGAGGGGCCCTTTGGCCCATTAACTCAAAGCCAACACTCGAAAGAGGAAATCGAAACATGAAACATACTGTTCATTAATGCACGTTCCTTTAAATTCAAGAATACATATCAAGATTTTTTAAAGTACAATAAAACCTCTTTATCTCTTAAAACTTTTACGTTATAACTGTTCAAAAATAATGAACCAATAAAGATTGCTTTTGGAAGCATTTCTCTGAATTTCAGATGATTACTTGCATTCATATTTGTGCTGAGTTGAGCTGTCTTAGAAGTGTATATTGTATCAAACTATAAAATATATTCCATTTTAAGCCATATTTTTCTTTTTTAGGTGTTACAAAACCTTAAATTGTTGATTGCCATTGGTACGATGTCTTGTATCATGCCAATTCTTGAAAATGAAGTTAATTGGGATCTGTCTTTTGGTTGGACAACCTACTGACATTTTCCTTCTAAATCCATGATCTCAGAATAAGTTTTAGCATACTCCTTTCGTACATCATAATGATACTTCACTACGCAAGAATGTCATTAAATTTGTCTTTACGTTAAGTTGTTAACAGAACCTCATTTAATGTCGATTGCCTAAATAGAATCGGTATTTGGAATCTTAGGGACCGTTTACCAAACACTTACTTGGTAAGTGCTTAAAGCATAAATTCCTCATCGGATGAACATGAGAAGGGTCAAGAATCTTACCGGGTAAGAGCAATGAGAAGAATGAAAAGTCTTACCTGATAAGTGATGATGACCGACTCTTACCCAGGTAAGTGCTTATCTAGTAAATTGTTGCATTCGATATGCTTTGATGTACTAAAATCTTATGCATCTAAATAAATTATAGTGTTGATTCCTATTGATTAGCGCTTACCGGGTAAGCATTTGGGTAAACGGCCCCTTAATTGAATAAACTATTTAATCAAATCCTTATTTTTTTTTTGCTTTAATATGGTTGGTACAAAAATGTCAAATATAATGTTGCTCGTACAATCACAACACATGTAATGCTAATTATACACACGTTCTTAAAAAAACGACTGGATATGACAGTTTTTGTAAAATAAAGAAAACACAACCCATGTTTTATTTATGACTAGAAAGATACTCGTACAATGCAGCGATATACATCTCGATTTTAATGTTTCGTTTTTTCTTTTGTCTCAGTAGATGTTATAATACAGTTTTATGTGATTTTGATTATTAAGAAAGCGATAATGTTTTTATTTTTGAATAAAATATTAAATATGAAGATATATCATAACAAATTGAAAAAAAAAACGTTGATATTAGTACCAAACTAACTATTTAAAATTTCTCTAATTCATTTATTCTATTATAATTTTTTATAAAGATAATAATTAAATAGTTTCTTAGAACTTTATGATTATCATAATTATATTTTAGATTTTTTATATTTAAAATAAGATATTTATCATTTATTTGATAATGTTTATCTACAGTTAGTCACACAAATTTAATTATGAAACTTTAAAAAACTGTACATATATACAATATACTTGTAATCTTGAATTTTAAATAATATGAATCAATAAGCAGTACTTTATGCTTAAAAAATGGTTTTTAAATTTTTTTTTTTCAAATGTTTTATAATATAATATTAGATACAGTTTTTTTTTTTAATTTCTTAGATAATATATATAGGATTTATCTTCATACCATTTACACAATATGGACACCTTTTATAAATGCATTTATTGTGCAAGTGTATTTGTCCAACGTTTTAATAATTCAAAATAACTGCATCTTCTTCGTCATTGTGATTGGTATCCATTTATTGCTTTCAAAATTTCACGTGTTTGTCATATGCTATTTTTTTTTATTGTAGTGTTTGGTAACCATTTATTACTCCAAAATTTTACTAATCCAAGATTTATACTTGACTAGTTGTGTATCCGTGCAATGCGGCGGGAGCCATGAATTTTAACGATTTTGAAGTTCCACTGGTTTTATATAAGATAAGATTTAACGATGATATATGTTACACTTGGTCTTTACATATTAATACAATTTGAATAAATAAGAGTTATGGTTTCAATTACAGATTATCGCTGAAAAAAATTATATGACAGTTTAAAATCCAATATATTTAAAATCCAACATATTTAAACGACTCCACAAATGTATTCGATTTACAATAAGAGCAAAGAACCAAGAAACTTGAGTTTTAAGATAAACACTCAAAACCAATAAAGAAAACTACAAATTTGACAGATCATAAGTTGTGGAAAGACAAAAAAAGATGGGTTTTAGAATGAAATTTTAACTGCTTACCCTCTTTCTTGTCCAGAAACTCAGATTAAGGTTGAATTAATACATGTATATATATATATTTCAAAAAAACCCAAGAACATATTATACAGTGCAATTTGGATAGCTTAACCCCAAAATATATAGTATGTATATAAATAAATAACTATAAAAGTATAAATCGTAAATATTAAAAATATTTTTTCACAGTATATATAACATATAATAATATAATTAAGTCAAAAACTATTCAATGTTGGATTCATTTCGAAGGTATTAACGAGACAATTATAATGATGTAACTTGTTAAAATAAAAATGTATTTTTTAAACATGTTTTAATTGATATACGATTATGTATATTAATTTGATAAATGTTTAAAATGAAACATTTAAAAGTAAATGACGTAAAGTAAATTAATTAACTAATTAAAAGGGTATAAAGTGTAAATTTAAAATTATAATTTTAAAAAAATCGGTTGTGAGAGGGTGAGTGTATGTGAAGGGGTAAGTGTATGTGAGGAGAGGAGGAGGTGAAAAAATGAAAAAGTGATATAAAGAGTATTTTGGTCATTTAGTATTTTAATACTTTAAGACTTTTGTTAAATTTGCTTTATAAGATAGTATAGATAACTCCACTGCAGCATGCAAGTTACTGAGTTAGCGATGTCGTGATACACTCTCTCTACAACCTGCTTCATCGTATCAGTACAGAACTGATATAAAAGAAATCGTATTTAGACAAAAAAACCATCGATTTAGACTTTTAGGTGAAATTTGGCTCAAACAAATTCTTCAAACCAAAAAAGTGAGGAGAGGCAACCACAAGGGTGGTGTCTGATTGGTTTGAGCTTGGCTCCAAAGGTCAAAAGTATCAGGATGTCTCAGGTTCAAATCCGAGGAATAGAAATCCCCTTGTGGCCATGGAGGTTCAAATGCGGTGACTCCAGGCTATCTGCAAAGCATGTGATTGTCCTGAGATTAGTTGGCTCGCATAACGAGTTGAATATCCAGGTTAATAAAAAAAGTGAGGAGAGGAGATGTCATAAAAATATGACAATGTTTAAAATTTAATTTGGGTATTAAATTTAATGAATATTTTAATGTTGGAATCAATTTTAGAATTTCCAAAAATGGAGAAATTATTAAAGTAATTTCTTGTTCGTAAAGATTTTGACTTTTATCTTTTTATTTTGAAAATATTATAGCAAATCTGTTGTAGACTTGGACATGCGCTTGTATACTTACTTTTCACTACTTATTCTTAACCGATTTGTATTATTCAGCCACGTTTGTTTTCTGTGGCAGGTTCTAGAGACAGGCTAGGGGATTATCCGGGTTGAGAGATCCGGAACGGATT